GATGATACAAGGACATGCAGTGATAGGATAAGAGGTAAGGGTTTGATTTTAAACTGAAAGAGGGTAGATTTAGATTAGACAGAAGAAAGAAATTCTCTGAGGACAGTGAGACACTAGAACAGGCTGCCCAAAGAAGCTGTGGATGTCTCATTCGTGGAGGCGTTCAAGGCCAGGTTTGATGGGGCTTTGGGTAATCTGGTCTAGTGGCATACTAGAAGTAAATATTTCATATATTTAGGTTTGTCCTAAGCAAAATAAAATCTAGATATCTAGCTCTCTTAGGACTACAGGCTGCCGAGGGAGGTTGTGGATTCTCCTTCTCTACAGATATTCAAGACCCCTCTGGATGTCTACCTGTGCACCCTGGTGTAGAGAGTCTGTTCCGCAGGGGGTTGGACTTGATGATCTCTAGAGGTCCCTTCCAACCCCTATAATTCTGTGATTCTGTGGTGGGAAGCATTTGAGTCCAGGACATTGTTGTAATCCACTGTTCAAGAACTACCAGAAATCAGCTTTGTAGAAGAGTTGCACTCTAATTCAACAAACACACTTCAATGCATCAGAAAAGTACTATACACATGAAACTGTAGGTCCTGTTCCTGACAATATACTGCAGTATTTCAGGAATGCTGAAGAAAATTGTACAAAGCAGGAATACATGTTTCACGGTGCATGGTCTAGGAGTTTAGGCAATTAGGCCTTTCTGATTCCTTTTGTGAGTCGCTTTGGAAGTTCGACCTCCCTGTGTTTTCTATCAGCTCCTATTTGAAGCTATAGAGCTTTGTATCCTTGGTACTGACTGGAAGCTAAGAGCTAACACAGGTTTAAATGGAACCTGAGTACTCTTGAACTTTATAGCTAGACACCATGATCAGCTCATGAAGCATGGGCCATGCATGACTTCATGCTGAGTGAATGTTATAGCTATCACGTATGCTTTTCCCTAGTTATCTATTTTTGACAACTGTATTGTACAGGATACTACAGTAGATGAACTTCTGATTTGACTACATTATGTAAGCAATATTTGTCATGTATCTTTAACACACAGCTCTTCAACATCAAAGAGGGTAAGAATAAGGAGACAGATTCTGCTCAAGATAAAATTACTTCATGAGACATGAAAACATTTGAAGGTCAGTATGGCTAACTTCAAATAATAAATTTTCTGTTTGAGACCCTCCATCTCTCCCTGAAACTATGAATAGTAAGTAATAGCAAGTAAAGTGTACAGGCTTTAAAAAGGGATAATGATGGCACAGATTCCCCTGTATTCAGCACTGGTGAGGCCGCACCTCGAGTACTGTGTCCAGTTTTGGGCCCCTCACTGCAAGAAAGATATTGAGGCCCTGGAACGTGTTCAAAGGAGGGCAACAAAGCTGGTGAGGGGTCTGGAACACAGGGCTGATGAGGAGAGGCTGAAGGAGCTGGGAATGTTCAGCCTGGAGAAGAGGAGGCTCAGGGGAGACCTCATTGCTCTCTATAACTTCCTGAAGGGAGGCTGTAGTGAGCTGGGGGTCGGCCTCTTCTCTCGTGTCATTAGTGATAGGACCAGGGGGAATGGCTTCAAGCTACGGCAGGGGAGATTCAGGCTGGACATTAGGAAGTATTACTTTTCAGAAAGTCAGGCACTGGAATGGATGCCCAGGGAGGTGGTGGAGTCACCGAGCCTGGGGGTGTTCAAGGAAAGACTGGATGTTGTGTTGAGGGACATGGTTTAGTAGGAGCTATTGGGAATAGGTGAACGGTTGGACTGGGTGATCTTTTAGGTCTTTTCCAACCTTGGTGATTCTATGATTCTATGATTCTATGATTATTTTTTTATAATATGTCTTTCTGCTCAATATCCCTCTGCCAGGTAGCTACTCATTTTTGAACATGTGGCATAGCAGGGCCATTCTTGATAGAGCTTTTGGCCATCTTCTGTTAAGCCCGGAGCAAAGGTCATGGAGCTAACAGAGAAACCAGAAAGGCAGCAGGGTCTGTTCACCTAACTGTGACTAAATACATGTAAACAGTAACAATGAATTTAATTCCTCTCTTTCTACAGCTGACTTGTTTTTAAGGACTTTGATTAACGCTATTAATAAACTATCACGATGAAATTTCCAAACACAAGGGAGCGAATGCTGCATGGATCCAGAGGAAAGGAGACCTGGCCCAGCTTCTGCCAGCTCCCTGAGGGGCTGATGAGATTCCTGCCATTTCTCCTACTTTGGTTACACTGGGCATCAGGGCTTGACTGGTACTGAGAAGACATCAGTGTAACGCTGACAATTTGGTAACTGCTGAGAAATCAGGAGGCATTAACAGGAGGTGCAGTAGGCAGGAATGTTGCTAAATTAAAATTCAAATGCAAGCAATACTTGCAAAAACTTGAGGTAAAACTGCTAGTGCATTGCTATTTATGTACTCATGCAGATGTGACAGGAAATTGACATATTAACACACAGAGATGTTGTAAAACTAGTTTTGACCAAGGAAAAGGATGAATATTTATCTCCTTAAGTGAAGGTTGACATACTTGAATAAAAAAAAAAAAAAAGGAAGGATTATAACACATCACTGTAACTCCTCCTACTATTATTAGGTTTCTTGACATTACCATTGGTAGGATGGAGAAGACACTAAAATCTTCTCAGAAAGCAGAAGCTTTACCTGAAGATAGCAAAAGTAACGTGAATATAATTCACAGGGCTGGACAAATATGGTAAAGAGCACCCACCTGACTTCAGCAATGCAAAATACTCACAGCTATTTAAAAACATGTGCCTTGAAAATCAACTTTACCATTGGTAGGACAGAGAAGACACTAAAAATCTCTGCACCAGCCCTGAGAGGAAAGGAATTCTCTGTACACTGCTATGCTGTCACTCTCCCTTGCCACGAAGGCCAAGCTGCTCAGAAGGGCTGTGTGGTGGAGACAGGGTTACATGTCACAGGCTGCCTTCAAAATGCCTCTGGATATCTAGTACAGAGTTAGTTGTTTCAGGTGATGACAGCTTCATAGAGCTTTTGTTTGACCAAATGAATGCACTTACTGTGGAAAGGCAGCTGGAGGTAACCAGATAAACATTTACCTAGAGGGCTACATTTTTGAAGTTTTAATTATCATCAGATTGCATGACAGTACACTGAGCCTATTCTTTCACTGAGGTTAAGCCTACTAGCTCATCAGTTATATGAAAGGCAAGAACTCAGTAAGAAAATATAATCTTAGCTACAGCCATGTGCAGTGAACCTGCTTTCTTGGTCCTCCATTTCATAGCATTTCTGGAGTTTGCAGGCTGTTAGTAGGGACCAGATGCTGCTGCTTTCAATGGGACTACCTGCATCCTGTCTGTTCTCTGGAGGAATTCTGTGTGCAAAATTCAAGGCACTCTGTTCCAAAGACAGGGAGGGATAAATAGAGGGACAATTGCTACTCATCCTCTTCTCCCTGCTTTCATCATAGGATGCATCATAGGATGCATCTCTTGACAGTACAAGCTTGTCTCCCTCAGGCTGCGCTGCACTACGTAGCTTTTGCATACTTGCACAGATCAAAAAACACTAGCATAGAGTATGCAAGTGATTTTCTTTTTTTGTCTGGAGAAGAAAAGAGTATGCAGCTGTATCTAATGCATTTAGCATCAGCTAGCCAGCCTTCCTCTCTCTGCACACACTTCCCTCTCAACGTTGTAGTCAACATCAGAAAAAATATAGTTGTTTTCTCACTAATCTTGTTGTGTTTTTATGAGAATAATTGTTAGCAGTCCACATTATCCTTTTTATTTAAAATAAAAAGACTTCAGCCTCCTTAAGCTGGCAAGAAATCACAGAAACTGCGGAATCAAAATTGGCACAACAACATAGCAAAAATGTGGAAAAAAAAGGTAATTCCTTTAGACTTCACCATATATATCCAAAAGAAATCTGTTGTTAAGAGTTCAGAGATTTACTTCTTTGCTTCACAGAGCAAACAGATAAGTTAATGGTTCCTTGTAGCAAGAGAAACTTCAAGAAACTTCATACAGTCTGTTGTTTAAAAAAAATGGGTAACTGGGAATCAGAAGGAAAGTAAAAATGTGATAAAAACAGCTGTATGCTGAAGATGACAGTTACACATCTTTAGGGCATTAATTTTTTTTTTTTTCTCTATCATGTTGTAGCACTTGCAATATACCATTTTCCCGAGTCAAGCATTGAGGCAAAAACTAAGCACAACATCAATATGACAGAAATACTAAATATTTTATTGAAAAGGTATGCTGAAAAATATATGGGTATTCTTACAGAGTCTTCACATGTCATTAGGATATGGGGTTTTGCCAGTTGAGTCTCTAGCTTGATGTTTAAAAAAAAAAAAGGGGGGGGGGGAATGGAAGAACATTGCCTTCAATCAGAACCACAGCTCCCTTTCTGTAGGGCTGCTCTCCGACCTCTCATCCCCCAGACCCCATAAACACAAGGTTACCCCATCTCAGGCGTAGAATCCAACACCCTTGATAAATTAGATATAGTTGGTGATTGCCCAACCCTCTAATTCATCAAGATCACTCTGCAAGTGCTCTCCACCCTCGGGGGAGCAAAAAGTTCCTCCCAGTTTACTGTCCTCTGCAAACTTACTCAGTATACTTTTAAGTCTTGTATTCAAGTCACTGATGAAAAAACTCCTGGTGACTGAGCCCTGTGGAATCCCACTAAAGGCTGACCACCAGCCTCATGGAACAGTGTTTACTCCTGATGCACCACGCTGTGCTTTTATTTGGCTGTACGCTGAGTATTTTGACTAAGAAGAAACTGTGAGAAATCGTGCCAAAAGCCTTGCAGAAATACAATCTGGCTAAATCTGCTGGCCTCCGTTGGCCAGCGAGGTGAATAACCTCCAAGCCTGTTAAATTGTGAGCCCATGTCAGCTATGACCAATGCCCGCACTGCTTCTCAGTAGCTCACAAAACAGTCTCCTCCATAATTTCACCAGGCACTGGAGTGCGACTGACAGGCCTATAAATAATTACCAGCCTCTTGTTACTGCAATTTTCAAGACGGGTAACATTTGGCGGCTTGCAGTCGATGGAGGTCTCCCCAAGATTCCCTAGGCTCCTTCCTTTCATCTCCAGCAGCAGCGCCGACACTCCAGAAAAAAGCCCTCCTCGGGATCATCCTTCACGACACACCGGCGCTCCGCCGCAGCAGGAGAGCCGCTGTCTGGGCGCCATTTGGAGCCGGCAGCCCTGCCGAGGAGCGGCCCCACCTGCTGCCCCCGAGCGCGGCCTTTTCCCCGCGCGGCGGCTCGGCAGCGCCGGGGCGGTGTTGGGGCGGTGAAGCTGCGCGGAACGTGGCGGCCGCCCATGGGAGGCGTGCGGACGGACGGCGCTCGCCCCTGAGTCAGCAGCGGCGCGGCGGTGGGCGGCACGTCGCCGCCGGCCCGTACCCGCCGAGCTTTGCCGGCCCATCCTGCTCTAAAGCCCAGCTCCTCTGCTGCTCGCCCGCGGGAGAGACGGAGGCTCACCCGGCAACTATCCGCCGCCGCCAGGTAGGCTGGCTGCCGTGGCCTCGGGTGTCGGCGCGGTGGGAAAGGGGCGGCAAACGGAGCCGTGTTACAGCCCGAACCTGTATTTGTGTGCGAGCGGTGAGCGTGCTGCTGATGTTCAGGACGCGCCTTAGTGAGCAGCGGGGCTTAAACTGAAGAAAATACCGCCGCTGCGATTTGCGTTGTGATTATGTGACGGTCTCGTTCCCTTCAGCACCTTCAGCAGAGTATGGCAAGAGCGCATCACCACTGAACGGGCCGAATAGGTGAGGGAACAAAATTGAGCACGAGCTGGTTTTCACTGTAGTCCTCCATAAGCTGTTTGTGCTCTCGCGTGTCCCTCATACTTAGTATATGACAAGATACTGATGTTGATACTGGCTGTTAAACTCTTCAGGGTAGGTTCACAGAGTCACAGAATGGCCAGGGTTGGAAGGGACCTCAAGGATCTTGAATCTCCAACCCCCTGCCACATGCAGGGCCACCAACCTCCACATTTAATACTAGACTAGGCACATTTAATACTAGACCAGACTGCTAGGTTGTGTGTGTGTTCTGTGCCGGTGTTTTATAGGACTCTGGTAACTCAACCTCATAGCTGTAACATGTTTGCTTTGCTTAATATTCCCGGTGTTCTGCAGGGTTTACTATTGAAACTGTTATTTCATCGTTAGGCATTGTCTTCAGCCAAATCTACATCTTAAAAACCAAGGGTAGTGCAAAGCTAACGGATGATGCTGTCCATCCTTATTTTGGTAACTGAGGTCCTGAGAATCGAGCTCCTCAGCATATTGCACATCAGTGCCTGAGTGGTGCACGTGTATACAGACCAATGCTTTTCCCTTAAACGCAAGGCAGAGGCAACGTAACCTGGATTTTGCATGGTTGAGGCTAATTGCAGTCATGTTCATAGCCTGTGGAAGCTGTCCTCTAGCATGCTTGTCTGCTTCCAGCTTTTTCTGCAGGGTGTATTGTGTTGGAGGAATGGCACTTCATTAACATTTCAGTTTCCTTGATAAAAAAACACCTGTAAGCATGAATCTGTTGCATAGTCATTAGTTCCCTACCAGTAAGATATGATTCTATCAATTCTAATTATGACATTGAGTGAGGAAGTTTTGGTGATGTAAGCTATAGCTTACTTCAATCTTGCCTTATTAGTTTTTGTTGCTGTCTTAGCAAGAAGAGATGACTACTAAATGGAGTGGTGTGAGGAGATGGAAGAGTTCCAAGTCTTCTCACTGACAGGCTTTTGAATCTGCTGGTGTAATGTCCATTAGGAACAGTTCAAAACTGTCCTAGCATCTGTTACACGTGGAGGCCTTCAGACCCTTTCCATTTGAATAACTGCTGTGGGATTCTTCACATATTTGTATTACAAATTTAGCTTATAGATCATAAAGCAAAAAAAGCAAACGAAAAAAAGCAACACTGTGATTTTTTTTTTGCTTCTTAGTAATGCCACTGAATGCATATATTTAGTAGGAATTTGGCATTTGGAGGTTGGTCTGTGATCAAGTGCTGTACATCCAAACAATTTCCAATTTCAAGGCTGTAGAACAGGTACAGAACCACAGTAATGGATATTATACCCTTGGGGAGAAATCCTTCTTACTGTCAAGCGGTTAGCTTTCAATTTCTGTTACAATCTGTCTTTTTGAACAAATTTATAATATAATTTAGCTGCAGGTACTGTTTTTCCATTTAAATGTCTGATGTTTTTCCTAGTCAACATCAGGGTCTGACTGTACTGAATATTTTTCAAGATGATGTGAGGTTGCAGTTTACAGATCTGAATTGAGCAAATCATGCTGGGGATATGAATGGAGGTATCCTGGTGTCAGTTTTCAACTAGTTGGCCTTGTTGAAGAGGTGGTTTAGTGACTGTTTAGTCCTAATATGTTTTCCTGGAAGAATATCTGTTCTCTGTGTGCTTTACTAATTCTTCTGCATGTTACAAGGAGTTTCACTGGTTAATATAGATAGATGGAAAAAAAAGTGCTCAGTCATTTAAGTGGAGCTGTAAAGGTTTTTATGTTGGTGGGGTGTTTGCATGCATCAGGGTCAATTTGCTTTTAAACTGAAGTCTGGCAATTCTTTTTTCCATTATCTCCACATATGCCTATTTTCCATGCAGTCTTCTTTTTTTTCTGCAGACTGCACTGATGGTGTGACAGGAGTGCTATCTTTAATTATGGGTATAGGATGACGTACTTTGGGAGAGGGAGGGAGGCCTGTAGAAATTCAGATTGCAGTTCTACATCTTGTGACGTGGCCGTTTCTACAGAAGTGGTTTCTGATCATCTCAGTGGCTCAGAAGACCTGTTGGGTTTTTTTTGTTTGTCTGTTTCTTTGTTTTTAAAGTTGAAGGATAACAGTGGATATAAAACTTAGAATGGTCATGTGGGTGAAAAGACTTTTTCCTACCTTTTTTTGACCGAGGAGATGTAATATTTCTTCCTTTGCTCTTCTATCAACACACAAGCTTTCAAACCTAGAAATGAATGGACATCATTCATCTGCATTAAGTCCTGATGTTATCTCAGGCAATGGCTAAATGTTAAAGACTGTAATCTTGGAAGTGGTTCATTAGCTTTGTTGACAATAGCGCTTGCATTGCTTGAGTCAGTCTGTCAATCTGTGAACAGCCACTGAAAGCTATCACAAGTTAGATGGATTTAGGTAACTTGGAAGTCTGCTTTTATAACGCTGTATTGTTTCACTACAAAAAGATTACCTAAAATCCTAGGTTATCCATTTATCTTCAACTGTCAACTTATTGTTTCTTCTGATAGTTGCTAGTTGATGAAGACAATATCAGTCACCTTCCACAAAGGTGATAGAAGCCATAAAACAGAAAGTTTGCTTTTCATTTCAAGTAAAAAGGATTCCAGAGAGCTTTTGTGTTTCTTACAGCTGGAAAGTTGAGTGCAGTGGAAAGGTGATAAAAGAGTGAAATGGCAAAAGGGACAAATGGGGAGAGAATGCTCACCTGCCTTCAAAGATCCAGGCTCATGGGGAATAACTCCATAAGGGAGGGGTCTCCAACCAGAGATCCTTCCCCAGTGGCAGTCAGCCCTTAAATGAGGTCTAAGAGAGGTGCAGCCAATCTCCCAAGGCTGACCAGATCCTTTCCAAGGTGATCAACGGTACTTTAGGCCATGACTCAACAGTTCCCATTCATTGTTAAAACTTGAATTTAATAAGTAGTTCCATATGTCTTTCCCAACAATGTTTGTATCGTGAGTACTATGACAGATATTATTTTAAAGCTAAAATATAGTAAATGTGTTAATTACAACAATTTAAATTGCACTGCAAAATAAATAACCCAGGGTTTTTTTTTTCTACCCATTGTGTGGCTTTTGTTGCTTTGGATGAAGCTGTAAACTAATGTTATTTCAAGACAACTCGTATTTTGTGGGACAGCCAGCCTTTAATGTTTGAGGATACCAGGTATCTGCAGTTTGCTTTGAGCAGCAGTATCAGATCTGATATTCTCTGTATTGTGCGTTTCTAAGTTCAGCATCCAGGGTTTCTATGCAATATATTCACAAACTTGGATCCTCCAGATCTGCAAATGCAAAGCTTTGATGTTTAGGTAGAAGCAGTGTTACAAGAAGAGTTTGTTTTTAAGTGTTAGATATTAAATGGCACTATTACTGCTATTTTAGATGTCTATTGAATAGTAATACTGCTATTTAATAGAACCATCTGCAAAGGGTCACATATCAGGAATGATATCTTCTAAATCCTAGATAATGAATTAAATGGGGCCATGACTTTGTCCCATGAAGTTTGTCTTAAAAAAAAAAGAAAGAAAGAAAAGAAAAAAGAAAGGTAATATTTCAGGTATTTAATGTTACACTGTGGGTCTCGTAGATTCAATCTGTCGGATTTTCTCTGCAGCAATCACAGAAAGAAATATTTTTTCTGCTAAAGGTTGAGATTTCTCAATAATTACTGTAGTTCAGGAAATGGCTCTTAGAGAAAAAGATATGAAAATACTGAGGACTGCAGTACCATGGTAGTTTGAACCAATGAATAGCCCCTTTTTATTTACTTTTGAGGGCTTCTACTCTCAGTATGGGGAAAAAAAAGTACTGCTAGATTTAAGCTGATGTACAAGCAAATTTTTTATGTTGTAGTTTTAGTAAATGACTAGTATGGTCATTTTTGACCATGAGCAGGTGCAAAATCATTCTTGTTCTGTGCTTTTATTAGTTATTCTGTCTTAAACTGCCTGAGTATCTTTCTTCTTCTTATACGTAGGTTGCTCCAAAAGTACTGCCTCCTATATATTTCCATGAAAATATGTGGAAAGTACTACAAAGAGCACAGTAATGCTCTTTGATAGAGCAAATTCTCAGCTACAAAGCACTATTTTTCAATGTAGTTACCACCATTAGATACGTGTTTTCTCCAGCGATGAGCTAGAGCCCGTTTGCCACTTGTAAAAGCCTGCCATCCAGTGTGGTTTATAATTCACATTGATGTCACCACTGCTGAAATTCTCCACCCACCACCTTGCTGTGCTCAGATCCACTGCTTTGGTCGCCATCAAGGTATGTCAATGGGTGCCATTTTATTCCACATAAAGAAATTCAGTGACACACTTTTGCTTCAGGTGCACTTCCAGATCAAACACCATTCTGCCAGACTGCCCCCCTGCTGCCATCTGTTGCAAAGCAAAGAAGTGTAATGGAATGTTGAGAGGAAGATT